CTCTAGTTTCCTGTCTCTCCCAAAAGTCCCTGCTTCTCCCACAATTATTTTTCACCATTTCTTCGTTGTTACCCACAATCCTGTGTTTTCTCCCACAATGCTCCTTTCTCCCTTACAGTTCTCCAGTTCTCTCATATCTCTTTTCTCTCCCATGATTCATGTCTTTCTCATAATTCTCTGTAGTTTCCAAGTAAAGGGCACAGTTATGACTGTGCATAGGAGGTTGTGGTGTCCAGGAGGGAACATGATCATAAAAGAAAAAAGTGTGGGCCAGGCATTTAGCTCAGCAGCATAAGTGCTTGCCTTGCAAGCACACAGTCATGAGTTCGACCCCTGGTACCAAAAAAGGAAAAAAAAAAAGTGGACTGGCTTAAGCGGAGATATAAGAACATGACGTTATATCTAGTAGGTAAATTCTCATTCTTTCTCTCTCTCTCTCTCTGTGTGTGTGTGTGTGTCTCACAATATTCTGTGTTTCCCACAATCCTTGTACCTCATAAATTCTCCTATAATTTTGTATTCTCTCCTTTTCCTGTAAAAACCTGTATCCTCTCACAATCCACCATGTTCTCTTGTCTCTTCTTTCTCCCATGGTTTTCTGTAATGTCTCAAAAATTTCCATGCTCTTCCATGATCCTCAGTGCTCTCCCACAATTTCCATGTTCTTGTTCAAATTTTTATCTCTCTCAGAATTCTATTATTCTCTTCCATTAATATTATGTCTTCAAAAATTCGCTAGAGTTCTTTGGTAGGAAAAGTGTTTTTTAAGCTGCGCAGAGGACACAATCCTGGTCATAGAAGTAAACTGACAACATTGACCAGAAGCCTCACCATGCTGCAATAAGAAGCCTGGATGGAATGTTAGGAGTTTGCTCTGGCTGTGGTGGTATAGCCAAGGTGAAGTACAAGGGTTGACCAGGAAGAGAAGAGCACAAGGAGAGCAGAGAGAAAATGACTGGGATGAAAAAGTTTGGCCTGCCGAGGAGAGAGGTGACTCTGGAGAGATGGAGCAGGGGGGTGTTTGGATGGCGTGGCTGAAGTGGAGGACGCCAATTCTTGTTCTGTTCCTTAATACTTAGTGCATTAGTCAGGATTCAGCAGTGGAGAAGCAGAAAAGGGAAGAGGAGGGGAGAGAGAATATGAGATAAAGGAGGAAGAGGAGGAAGAAGAAGAAGAGAGAAGTCAAGGATTTATTTCAAGAAATCTACTTATGCAATTGTGCAGGCTTGGTAGGTCCAAAATACACAAGATAGGCAAGCAGGCTGGAAAACCAAGAGTTACAAAAACAGCTGGCAAGCAGAATTCCTTCTTCCCCTGCAGAGGTCAGTCTTTGTTCTATCAAAGCCTTCATCTAATATGAATAGGGGAAGCCGGTATGAGGAGGGCAGGTGGAGAAAAAGACCTTGAGCCCTCTGCTGTCTGATCTTTATCAAAAACTCTATAATCAGCATTGTTGAACTGGACGAGGGCACAACAGTCCTACCAGCAAGACCTCTGTTTCTCCAAAACAGTTACCAGATAGGGTTGTGCATGCAGCTGCTTCCTCAGCCTGCACCTAAAGCATTGTTAATTGATCACAGAACTTTTTCCTTCTGAGTCTGAGAAGAACAAACAGAATTTCTCAACATAGTTCTTCAGGCAGCTACTACAAATAATAAATAATTCAGTAAGTCGTGTGAATTGAAATCTATTTGCCATCCTAGGGAAAGATAATAAATGCCACCCTGAATTCAGCCAGACCACTGAGGATCGCGTATTCAAATGAACAGAGCAGTTCTGATGGCTTGTAGGATTGATTTACTGCACTGTGCTCTGTGGTTATGTCAAGAGTTGCCATTGTGGGGATCTGGATATAATTCTTTATGTCACCTAGCTCCCAATTAACTCACTGCATCAGCTTAATGAGGAAACAGAATTTCCCTCAGGACTGAAATTCAAGTAAAATTGTGCGCCATTAAAAACAAAATGAAAACAATGACTCTATTGATTTTTATCTTATGAGCACTGGAAATCTTCAGAAGATTGCCTTTCCTCTTTTCTATGGCTATTCAGAAGCTTAGGTCACATTTCTGGCCTACCTTTGACAACTGTCTTGGACCCAGTAGAGTATACACTTAAATATTAATCTCATCATTGTCTGCATTATTCTCTTCACTGAGCTTTCTTGCTGATTCTTATGACTATTTTTTTTTAAATCTAGTTGTGTCTATATTTGAGTGAAGTACCTCTAATTGGTTGTAGAAGAAGGTGAGATAGAACTAACAGTGTAAAATCAATGCAGACATTTGTACAGGCTGTATTTTTACCAATTTCTGAAAGTTTGGTTTTTCAGGCAAAATAATGCCTGAACAGTGAAACATTTTATTGATAAGATTCTCAGGATCTGGGTGAACTTAAAAAAATGTTCTGTTGAAACTTGTTCTTTTCTTTGTATTCCTTCTAGTATTTGACTATTCTCATGATCTTCAGGTCAGAAATGGAATGGAGTGTGGGAAAGAGAAGAAAAAAAAAACAGCTAATACTGTATGTGATCATAAAAGTTTTATTGATGGCATATGAAGAAATGCAAATAGCAAACCTTACTGCTACAAAGAGAGAAATTATATCTTTCCATACATATAAAAATTGTAGATATTCAGTGAAAATTTACTAAGGATTACTCTGTAAATGAATCTACTAACTACTGTAAAAACGACTCCTTAATTAATGGCTATCCAAAAATATCCCGGAAGACCTGTGGATACCAAGTTTCTTTCCACCAGCCAACTTCCTAGCACATCTTTTCTTTTACATTATTATTTTATTTTTAATTTTTTATAAACACAAATTCACACACATACATTGTCTACAAGAGACAATAATATCAATCTTTTCAAATAGAAATCTCAATTCACTTCAGTGGTCAACTCGATTTAATGATGGGAGATTAAAGTTAAATACTTAATCAAAAGGCACCGTATGGCACCATCTAAAACCTACTATCACGGTGGTATCAGGCGAAGAAAGATTAAGCTACAGCAAATTATTTAATGTGAATGTTATCAATGACAAAACATGAAGCAAATTTGTGTTCCAAAAGACTGGAACGATGATCATTTGGATTGAAGAAGATATTTGACCAAGAAACAGCCAAAACAGTGATAGGTGAAGCCAAATAGCAAGGACTGGGTACAAAACAGAATCCAAGCTACAAACACAAGCAGATGATGGTGGATCAGAACAAAACATTTGCTGCACTGCGTTATTGCCCTTCCTCCTTTCCAGGTCCCACTCAACAGTTGCTCAAGCTGAGTTGCCTGCTTCTGTCTTACAGGATGTTGCATCTACTGAAGCTAGTTTTGATACTGCACAGGACTTTCTGTAATTTAGCATAGAACTTAGAGAACATGTCACACTTGGGCTGCCTCTCTTGGCAAAGGAGTCTGAGCTTCCCTAATCACATTCAAATAGCCTTAAACCACAACCTCAGAAGCCTGAAATCTTGCAGTAGCTGAGCTCCAGCTAAAGCCATGAGGGTCACCAAATCACCAAGAGAGCAGAATGAACAGTGCAGGTAGGCAATCCCAGCAGCAGTCTCAATCTGCCTTTCTCCAATTTGGGATAAACTCTATTATACCTCGTGTGGAGTGCTACCCTGAAGCAAGCTGGGTCTTTGGCTGAATTTGTCATCAAATGCCATGGGAAAATAAGGAGAGGGGCCGACTTTTTAAAAAGCCTCAGCAGTCATTCTAATATAGAGACATAGCTGAACAAGGAGGAAGCAGATTCCCCATTGTGAGCTCTCCTGATGGCTTCTGCAAAGACCATGGAGATGCTGATCACCTGTGTTTTGCAGCGATGGTTCATCTTGTCCTCCTGTGGTATAGGATTGGTGATTACTACTGCCACAAAGCTTATACTGTTGATGGAGAAATCGCTAGGCCAGAAAAGATTCCATGAGTCAAGATAGCATAAATTTGGGCAGCCTTCGTTGAGAAGTTTGTCGGCTGTGTGGCAGATTGTACCCCAAGTTTCTGCCATGTCAACAGGATAACCACATGGTCCTTCACATCTCCCACTGTACCATGTGTACCACTTCACTGGTCTTCTTCTGTTCTTTGAGAATCAAGGCAAAACCCACATTCAACTGGTCTGCAATGGAATACACTCTCAGCTCCAGCAGCGTTAGGTGAGACAACAGTACAATCCCTCCATTCCCAAGTACTTTGCCATCTTACCTCATCATTTCTAGTCATATCCAACCCAACTTGGGCTGGAAAAATTCAGACTCTGATTCTTGAGGCTTGTCTTATTTGTCAGTGGAGCGTGTGTTCCATCAACTTGACTTTAAGGAGTCAAATTTAAGTATTGGGGAAGAGAGCTGACTCTAATTTTTTTCTCCATTTTTCTTACAGCACAAGAAAAATGGAGAAAAAATTAAAGCAGTCTCACAGCACAGAGCTGCAATCAGAGCTCCAGACCAGGTGAGATGATGTCAAGACCTGTGCTGGACACAGCAAGAAGGTGTGTGCCTGTGAAAATCATCTGGGGAAGACACAGGAAATAATGAAATAAGCTTACTCCACACATTTGCCTAACATTTAAAGTCAACTAAGGCCAAGGGACTACAGGAACACGATCCCACAGTTTTGGTTTAGAGGATATAAAAACTGGCTGGAAGGAACACGAATCCACAGCTCAAGTTCAGAAGCTGTTAAACTCAGGTAAATTGGACATGAAACCTAGCAAGAGCGGACACATCCAATGTTTATTTCCCTATTGAGTCACCTGTTCACAGCCCATCAAGTCATGGTGTTTGGAGATGGGAGAAACCTGAGGAAAGTCACTTTTTAGACCCAAATTTTTAGGCCTACAATCTGATTTCACCCAACAAGGGCTGCCAGCAGAGGCAGAAGGAGACGGGGTGTGCGTGGTGGGTGGGGTAGGGGAGGGGCCAGGGCCGAACTCAGAGGCGTGGTTCAGGGTTGGAGGGGTGTGGCTGAGCGGAAGAGGGTGGCGGGAGCCGAGGTAGAGGGCTGGCAAAGTATGAAGAAGTTTGGCCCGGGCGGTAGTTTGGAAGTATCAGGCGCAAACGCCTGATGAGGGTGTGTTCTCGTGCGAGGGGCGTGGCTCGGGTATGAGGGGAGTGAGAGGTGGCCCTAGTCCGAGTCCCGCGAGGCGAGCGAGTGGACAGATCAGTGCTCGAAGGGAAACGCTCAGGTAAGGATGGGCGGCCGAGTGAAGTGAGGGGCCCAGGGGAACGGGCAGACCCAGAGAGGGCCGTGACCCTCCCCACGACCCCAGTCCTAGAGCTGCTACTCCAGGTTTTGCAGTTGGGACAGCCGCTGGCGCTGCTAGTATTGCCTGCGTTCCCTAGAAGGGCTTGACTTGGCATCGTCCTCCCCACTGTGAGCTCTTCCTCCACTGTGGGAGTCACCAGACAGCTGCACCTTCTTTAGAGCTCTTTGCACTTGTCGAGAAAACAGCTGTCTCAGACAATTTGTGGGGAACAGGGCATTTGACTTCCTTGGGAAGCCACGTTGCCGAAGTTGGTTGAATCTAAATAACTCCACTAGTCCAGTCTGCTGTAAAATAGCTGGAAAGGAGGGTGCGAATCTGAGGCTGCACTTCCAGAAGCCCAGGCGTAGTGAGCTACAACTCACTGGATTTTGCATTGTGTTAGCGCACCCCTCCCCCACCCCCACCCCCACCCCCACCCCCACCCCCACCCCGCGTCAGGAGCTGTGGACAGACCCAGCCGCCCCCAGGGCAGGAGTCAGCATCACAGCTGTGCAGTGGACAAATCGGAGACTTCTCCACTGCGCGTTTCCTTCCTTTGGTCTTTTTGTGGGGTGCCCCGCCCTAGAGCTAGAGGAAAGTAAACCTTCTTTTTTTTTTGGTCTTTTTCTTTTTTATCGGTACCGGGGATTGAACTCATGACCACACATTTGCAAGGCAGGCGCTTATGCGGCTGAGCTAAATCCCCAGCCCCTAGGAAAGTAACCTTCAAAACGCGAAAATGTTGGGGACGGAGATTCTTGGAGGCAGCCATCCTTAAAGTCTTCTTCCTTGAGGCTAGCGGCAATGCTGCCCCTTCCCTCTTCTCTTGTGTCCTTTCCTGGGGGAAAGTTTGACAAATGCAGGGGGTTCAATCGAGCATCTTAGTTGGGGTACAACTTGTTCTGGCTCAGCCACTGGAAACCACATTACTTTCTGCTTCCCTTTCCTCTCTACTAACAATCTGGCTTTGTCCATACTGCTGTTTAGAAGCTTTGCTGAAATATGGAAAGAGTGGCTCATTTCTCTAGTGGCAGTAGCTGCCCCAGACCCCTGACAGTCCCTGCTCATTCCTCACAGTGGCTGCTGTTAGGATCTGTTGAAAAGAAGACCCTTTCAACTTCTTAGGACTCTGCTCCTTAACTCAGTTTTTTAAGAAATCAACACCTGGGCTGAAATTTACTGAAAAACCCCCAAACAGCAAGGACACATCTACTCCTTCCTTGTTCTCCCCAAAGCCAGGCAAAAGGATGGGATCATTCTGTCAGGGAAGGAGGGGAGCGGAGGGAGCTGAGCTTTCTAAATCAAGATAGATATGGCGGCGGCGGCAACATAATCTCTAAATTATATTTCGTGGGATGGCAAAAGACCTGCTTCCTTTTGAAACTGGGATTGAGAAAACAAAAGATCAATCCATTGAGGATGAAGAATTTCTTTAATGTAATAGGACCTTTAATCAAAGATTTTTTTTTTTTTTTTGGCTATCTGCTTTGCATAGATAGAAATACTTCCATTGGGCAGAATTGAAACTGCTTGTATAAAAATGCGCAATTTATGAAGAACTGTTTAAGGCTTTTTTGTTTTATCATTTGAGACAAGGTCTCACTATAGAGTTCAGGCTGGTTTTGAACTCACTGTGTAGCTCAAGGTTGCCTTTAATGAGTAGTGATCCTCCTGCCTCAGTCTCCCAAGTACTGGGATTACTGGTGTGTGCCACCACACACTTTAAGGATTTTGAGAATCTCTTTTCCCATACATTTCTAAGTCTGTGAAACAGCAGATAAGGGACATTTCAGTAAAATCCAAGGACATACATAAATAATCAGTCATACCTGTGGGCATATCACACAGAAAGCTTAGCTTACCTTCTCTGTGACTCACCGAGCCCATAGGCTACATCTCTAAGGGCAAATTTGACACAGATTTTTCATGAAATACAGTAGTATGTGGTAGTAGTGCATTGTTATGTTTTATGGTTAAACATTACTTATGGTTTTACCAGCTTAGATATTGTAAATTTAATGTGTAAGTTATAAGTAACTAATTCTCAATAAATTACTACTTTTAATGTACCAGGAGAGATTGGCCTTAGGCCTGAGCATTAAAAAACCTCATGTGTTGTTATAGATATTGGACCCTGCCACCAGCCAAACCCAGTTGCTGTATATGTGATTTTCCTGGGACCCTCCTCACCCCTGACCTTCCATGCTTGGCTGCTTTCGTGACTGTCTTTGTTTCTTTGCAGTTTCTTGGCATCCCTGAATTGCTCCTTTTTGTCCTACTCCTACAGTACACTTGGAACTCATGGAGGAAGAGGATTTTCCTTTTGTCTCTAGCTTTGTAACGGCTCCTGAGCACTGAACGGTGTTGCCAACTCTCTCCTAGATCTATGCGCTTGGATGTACCTACCACTGGCATCTCAAATCTAGTAGGATAGAAACCATCTTTCCCTCCACTCTTTCTCATGCCAGGGGCTACTCCTCCGGTCAGGCGATCATCCTCATGCAGCCAGCATCATCCAGCCAAAAAATCAGGAGGCCTTTTTCTACTTCACTGAGTGCCAAACTTGACTTTTTAAAGTCAGATGTTATCTTTTGGCACAGAGTACTTTGTGCATCTCTACTATCACTGCTGTACACTAAGTACCTTGTCTGTCTCCACTTCACTGCCCAATGCAGTGCTTCACATTCTCTCACTTGGATTATTGGGATTGCATTTCAAATTTTGCATGCCCAAACTTGGCCTACTGGTTTTTCACCCCAAATCTGTCCCATCCACTCCCTTCCCCATCTGAGTTCAAAGCAACTCTATCCTTTCAGTGACCTAAACCAAACATCTTCTTTAATTTCTTTCTTTCACATCCTACAAGCTATATCTCCAACATATATCTAAAACCCAACCACTTCTCACCACTGCTTTACACCGTGACACTTTAACTTCAAATCCCTGGATTATTCCAAATAGACTTCCTGCTTCTTTCCTGCCCCTGCCCTTCACACCCACTGTCCAAGGTTTGTTTGTTTGTTTGTGCATTGCCCTGGGGGGGGGGTCAAAGACAGCACCTCTCACAGGCTAGGCAAATACTCTGCCACCAAGCTACAAGTACCTCAGCTCTCCCAAGGAGATTTTTAATTGGTCACCCTGAGTGATCTTCTTAAAATGTCAGTCAGAAGTCACACCCAAGCCTCTCTCCATGAGTCGGCATGATTCTTGGACTGCAGAGGTAGACAACCAGGCCTCACAAGGAGGTGATCCCCACCTGGAGACCAGCACCATTTGCTGGCCGCTGTCAGAGTGGGGACAGCCACACCCAAGACTCTCTTCATGAGTCAGTGCCATTCGCCATTCGTGGACTGCAGAGGGAGAGAATCAGGCCTAAGAAGGAGGTGATCCCTGCCTGGAAATCATATCATTTTCATTGTTTTCTTGGGTTGGATTTTATTCTCTTTCGTTTTGTTTGATTATGCTCAATCTGATGGCATGAGCAGCTATTTCAAAGATAGCAAGATGTATTATGGTAGCCATTTTGGATTTATTATTGGCTTGTTTTGAAGTCCTTTATTGCATTCATTGTTTTGTTTTCATTGTTTCTATTTTATTCTGTTCTGTTGGATTTTTACTATGTGTGAAGGTATCTGCAGTTATTTTGAAGACAACAAAAGACATTATGGTAACTACTGATGATTTCATAAGGTTTTGAAGTCCTGTATCACTTATACTAATTTATTTTGATTGCTTTTATTCTGTTTTATTTTCCTTGGTTTTATCCTCTTTAAAAAAAAAAGGTAGAAAAAGAAACCATCTCACCTTTGTTTCAAAAAGCAGGTTTGGCATTTGTTTTGGTTTTGTTTTAGCTACAAGATGCCAAAGGAAGTCTGCAGCAGCAGGGTCTCCTGTAGTGAGATCAGCAGCATTATGGGGACAGACAGAGGTTCAGACCTTTAGACCACTACAAGGAATCTGCTACTGGGTGTTGGGCTTTGCAGAGAGTGACTGAGAGTGGGGGTTATGGCAGGCCTTCTGTAGCCTTCCTGACCCGTAAGCCAATCTGGAGGTAGTCTGAAGCCAGTCTGGAGTACTTTCTCGGTGCCAGGTGTCATCAGCTGCCACCCCCAACACTGTGCACAGACCATGTGTCTTCTGAGTGTGAGGCAGTTCCCAAGGTATGACCATGGCCCTGGTACTTGTTCCCACCCTGCTGGGCCGATGTTTTCCTGATGACTATCCACAAACTGAGGCTAAGTGTCATTTATTCAGACTTATCTGGGAGCTATACTGTCAGGCCTAAAACCCCCAAAAGCTTTCTGGGCAGGACCCATGTTTTGGGTGCATATATGGCCATTCGTTTGTTTGTACAACTTGTAGCCCACATGCACATCTTGACCTTGTCTTAGCATGACCCTCACTTAGAAGGCTGAGTCAGAATGTCCCTTCTGATCAGTGTACATGTCACCTGACATCATCTTCCTGGAAGTTACTAAGTCTCCCTTCCCAACTAGATTGCAAGCAAGGAACCACTATTTTCTACTTGTTTGCCCACCTATCACCCCCTGGAACTGGAATTGTTCAGCGAATAAACCCAGATTCTACTTATTTCAACCCGAGTTGTCCCTCTTTGGCCTTGATGGTTAATCCACCCCACCCCCATGTCCTCATCATCCCAGAAGTTTTCCCTGTCCACCCTTCTGCTTTTGCTCCTCCTCCTAAATTGTTATAGATGCTGCCCCTCCTGAAACATAGACCTTTTGCTCCTTGTGTTCTTGATGCAGTCATGAGGCTGTCTTCATGTTTGGCTTGAAGAAATATCTGTTTAATTAACCCGACTAAAATAAGCAAGCCACAGAAATACTGTATGATTGCACTTGTATGAAGTACATAGAATGAGCAAAAACAAATAGAGATATGGAGTAGAATCACAGTTCATAGGGATCGATAATTTGGGT